CACTTAAGATAGTTTGGTTTTAGTTTTAAAAGATTTTTGTTCATTCATGTTTATTTTTACATAATTGCTTTAAATTTTAAAATACGTGTACAACCTTCTTAAAGATGTAAATATATAGACTTATATTGAATGATTATAATTAACTAATTTTATAATTCTAACTAGTAAAGATTAAGTGTTAAATAAATTTCTAACTATGATAAAAAAAATCATCAACTAAAAATAGTTGTAAATTATATGGTTTATATGAAAAATATTTCTAGCGGGTTTATAATTGTGATTTGTAAATTTTATAATTTTGTACAATGTATAAATATTTATGCAAATTGCTAATGTATGACCGATAATTGAAACAAGATTCGAAAGAATGAAATTGCTTTGGTAATTGCTTATATTAAGCTGAAAAATAATGTCGAATATATCAAAGTCAAATAAAAAAAAGACTGCACAATTTAATTAACCAAAGAAGAAAAAAGCTTATTGGGTAACAATTTAGATTTTTTTTAATAATTTATACATATTTCCAAAATTACTGGCAAATTGTAATTTAATGAAGAAAAAAAACTAATTATAATTTATTAAAACAGAAACATAAAAAAAAATAAAAAATAAAAAAATAACCGTTAGACTAATAATACAAAATTTTAAAAAAATGTATAGGCATTCTATAACATTTGTGATCAGTAGGGGAAATAAATGAGGAAAAAATTATATTCCCGAATACATTAGTGATTTCATTTAAAAATCAACATTTCAACTTAATTTTTATCCACATAAATTGATATTTATATGTCTCTAACCGGAGACAGTAAAAATGTTTTGAACGTCACCATTATTGCAAATTCAGCAAACTAGTATGCAAATTCTTAAATCAGCAATTTCGTATATTTAAACATTTAAATGTAACAAAAGCAATCGCTATCTGAGAGAATTCGACTACATACTGGCAAACATTAAAATATAAATATAATTTATATATCACAATATAATTAATTTACAACTGCCCTTAGTAGGTAATTATTTTTACAATGGTTAGAAATTAATTTATACTTTTAAATTTTACCAGATAGAATTTCAATATAAGTATAGGTAATTATATCTTTAAGATAGTTGTATATGTTTCTTGAAATTACAAATGAGTAATTATATATATACAAAATTATAAATAAAATAGAATCTTTAAAACTAAGACTAAATTACAGCTATCCAAAAGAGATTAATAAGCACACTAATCTGAAAATACTTGCAATTTGGCATCCTTATATTATAATTAATGAAATAATCCTAATACCCTGGAGCAATAGAGTTTTAATTAATTGCAATATAAGGATACCTAATAGTAAGTGTTTATAGATTAGTTTATTATTAATAATATTTTCATTATATAAAATTATTACAAATTATTTACAAATTATTATGGAATTCAAATTAATTATTAATATCTTTTATGCGATTGTAATATGAAAAAAACGTATGTTAATATAAAAAATAATTTATATTTCACCTTATCGTTTTTTTGCCGAACCATAATATTTCTACAAAATTCATTTACCGAATTTTAAATAGTTCAAGGTGTTATGTAAAAATATTATCTATAATTTAATTCCAAATTACGTAAGTGTTCCAAAAACAACCTCTCTAGCAGCCATAAAAGTTATCTAATAACTCAATAACACAACAAATCTGACTTGATTGAGCGACTCAATTCTAAATGCAAGAAATTTTCTAATACAAAAATCACAGATAAAAGTGTCATGTGATTCATAATATTATAACGTAATATCAATTGTATCTTGCAACCTTATCGAAGATTTAATAAAACGGTTTTACCAAATAATAATATCATTATCCAAAGTATAAAAGTATCCAAAAATATTTTATACATGGATAATTGAAATTGGTTGGGAAATATATTAACTAAGAAGGATAAAGTAATGATACTAAAACAAAAGGGTTTTAAATACAATTATAAAATTATTCAAAAAAGTTTTATATCTCGGTTATTAATTGACAAATGAATAAACTAAAAAGTATTAAGTAATGATGCTAAAATTATCTATTATAAAAATCAAAGGTAAGTGTCATGTGATTCATAAATTTATATAGTAATTTCATCATATCTTGTAACCTTATCAAAGAATTATAACGGTTTTACTAAATAAAAGCAATTCGTTATCCAAATTATAGAAGTATCAAAAACAATTAATTCATTGGCAATTGTATAAGGGGGCGTCTATTAATCACGTGATCGATTTTTTAAGCATTTTTGGGCCACACTGAAATGTAAAAAAATACAAGCAGTCAATGAATGTATGTTAATTTTAATTACATGAAGTTCTTCAAACACAAATACATGATGAGTGAAGTTGCAAAAACAATATTTGTTTAGGTGTTGTTTAACATAATCCACTGTGTGAACGAATATTATAGAATTATTATTATTAATCAGCAATTATTTCATTTCTCTAATGAAAGTTCATTTCTAAATGCTAATTACAATGACAAACCGATCATGTCATATTTGAAGTATGACTGAAGTATGACATTACTGTTTTTAAATATCATACATATTTTTAATGCTATTATAAATTTGTAATTTATAATTTATCATTATATAAATGTGTATATTGGTTGACACTAATAAATGCACTTATAAATAGACGCATAATACTTGACGTGGATGCTATAGCATTCATCGGATATAACGATTGAAATATGAATATCTGACTACCCTTTTTATCAAATTTCTGATATCACAACTAATTTAAAAAAAAAAATGACTCATTTCACCTTGCAAAAATTTTTGCTCTGCCTGAACGTGTTAAAAATTACAATCAAAATACAATGAAATCTTACAGCTATTCTTACACGAAAAAAAAGGATTATAAAATAACAAAATATTTTTTTTCTGACCCTTATTATAATTAAATTTTATCCCCTTGATATATTTATTATTTCCTTTCTCAATCTAGGCCAATTGAAGTTACTTAATAAATGAAAAAATGTATGCCCACCTTGTTGAATTTCTTTACATAATGTTTAATGGTGTGTGCATCTATAATGAACAAATATGTACGTAATTATTGAACTAGAAGTCAAACATGAAGCATTGCTAAATAATTTCGAAATATCATTTGACCTACTAACGAGCGAATTCTTTAAAATTAAACGCGAATTTATTTTATATTTTGGCATCATTATTATATACTTTTTGAAGCAATTAATAATCGGTGCATAAGGTAAATTAGACTTCATAAGCCCTCAAGTAGAAATATATTTGATTGTCAATTCTAGATAAAAGTTCTAAATATTTAAATTGGTTAAAAATATATATTCAGAAATAAATTAAAAATGGAACAATGTCTGCATTATCAATTTTACATCGATTACCTAATGCCTATAATTTTTGTGTTCAAAAATTTAAATCTCTTTCAAAATAAGATTGATATGTAAGTATTTTGCTCTTAACAATAGCTCATAAGATTTCATTGAATATTGAAATAATTAATTTAATTTTATTAATTAATAAAAAAATTATATAGTTAAACCATATAATTTACTTAGTTTAATTTCGAATACTGATTATAAAATAATATACAGTTTTTGAGATAAGTGTAAAATTAGAATTTAAAATATGCATAGTATGTAAATGGCTAGTTTATAAATAAGAGGCCAAATAAATATAAATTAAAAAATATAACAATAATAAAAAAATATATTCGAAAAAAAATTTAAATTCGAGAAATTTGAAAAAATGGCAAGAAATTGATCATTTTTTCGGTCACCATTGGAAATGGCCAAATCAAATACAATTATAAAAAAAAAAATTAATAAGAAAATTTTATATTCGAATAACTCAAAGAAAAAGGTAAGTAATTGATCCTTTTTTTCAGTCACCATTTTGTCAAAAAAATAATTTTTTTTCATTTCGGGTTACTTGAAGGATTGCAATCGTAGGCAAGATTTATGTGACCCTTTTGAGACCCCTCATTTCAAACATTGCTAATTTTAAAAATTATTTAACATAAGTTCTTCTTTGTTTCAATTTTTTCTGTACTCTTATAATGTTGATAAAGAAATTATAGAAAAGATAATGGTATAAAAATTGATTATCTTTTTTTTTCAAAGATAATTTAAAAATGTCCTAATATTCATGCCCCCACGTCCGAAATATTTAAATTTATTTTTAATTCCTACTAACAACTTTGTTGAAAGTCGAATAAAAATTCAGATAAAAATGGAACAATGTCTGCATTATCAATTTCGCATCGATTACCTAATATTTTTATAATTTTCGTGTCCAAAATTTAAATCTTTTTCAGTATGAAATTGATCTGTTCGTATGCCTTATATAACTTTATTATCTAAAGTAATTACGTTTTGTAGCGTAAATATAAGTAACATATTAGAAAGTCCGAGAACCTTCGTCTGGTATATAGAAATTGATTTGACGAAGCAACGTGATATAATTCTTACAGATTGATGAAATAGTCAATTGAAAGAGGAATAAAATTTACAAATAAATTACTGATAATTGTAATTAATTTGTAAATTGTTTGAAGCGGGCTTATACAAAGCACTTGGGATTTTCGTCAGAAATTTCAATGGTAATTTACGAGTCTTATAATGTGTAACCACGTGACTAAATTAATTCCTTAATTATTTTTTGTAACTATATAAAGTTTCCTAAATCAGCTGCGAGTTGTAATTAAATATCACAGTATTAGGTTATGTTAAAAATCGTGATCTATTTTTAAATACACTTGTTGACGTGGCGTGGTACAAAAATGAATAAAACTTCGCCCGAAAAAAATCTAGAAATATTATATAAATATCAGCTTGTCTTTTAATCATCCACTGACCGTTCTCAATGATCGGATTACCGAATTATTTCATATAAAACACCAAAATCCGTATAATATGGCGAGCTGAATAAGCGACAGCCTGTTGTAATGCACGAACTGAACAAGATATTCCAAGGGCATTTGAAAAATACTGACCTGATTTCTTTGATATTCCTGAAGAGCACGATATGCCGAGTCGGTTAATTTCACAAATATATATTCTATGTCATCGTTACAACTTTTCTTTGACGATAAACTATATGTATCACCTGGACAAAGTTCCGCCATTTCTATCAAAAAGCTATCACTGTGCGACCAGCTGACGTCGCTTAATCAACACATAAACCATACGTACACTTTTAACCACTAATTCAATAAACTATACTTAATATTTTATTCACTTCTTATTTAAATTTACACATGTTTTTTAGATTTTGAAAAATTATAATGTTAATATAACCTGATTTTAATGCAAAAGAGGAAAAATTGCGATATGTCAGAAGAAAACGGATGGCAGCACTAAACAGTGCACAATACGCGACTGACAGCGCTTCGTGAGATTACGAACAGGTCTACGATCGGATGAACGGCTGAACGAGCGCCGCTACGCCATTGAACGGCGGCCGTTGACATGTGCGAACTACGTGCGGCAAACTTCGCGCCGAACGAAACGTCACTTTGACAGATAGACGGATAACATAACCTTAAAAACACAAGATTGTCAAAAGTAAACAGCTGTGTGTTAATATATATATTTCAGTAAATATATGAATGCATTTTTAAATAGTTGAAGAAATCAAAGCTGCTATCTAATATCGGAAATCAAATATCATGTAATATTCGCTTAAATTAATTAATATCATGCTCTTGTTTATAGCAGCTGAATTAATTGCTTTTGACAGCTTACTAAGGTATACATACCTCATTGTAAACATTAGAACTATTTGATAATGATCACGATTTTTCAATATTTAGCCCAGTCATTATAGTAAGTTCACCTCGGAATTTGAGATACCCAGCTGTAAGTCTGTAAATACTTGTATATTGATACCCTGAAATTGTCTCAAAACCTACATATGGTATTGACACCCTACCATATGTAGGTTTTGATACAACTTTTAGGGTGCTATTTTAGGGTATTTACAGACTTACAGCTGGGTTTCTCGAATTTCGAGATTCTTACCTAAATGGCTGGACTAATTTTCTTTTTATTATTTTATTTTCAATAGCGATCACAATACAATATCCTATGAGCTATTCGGCTTAATTTAATCACTCACTCTTATGAAAGCACATATGAAATTATTGTTCTAGATTTTAAAATATCAATAGTAATATATTAGTGACTATTGTATTTCAATGATATTCCAGTTTTTAAAAATGTTGAACACTGTTTATTTTTTATTACTCTGTCTATAAATTCTATATCATGATAGTCGTGTAAGGCCTTATTGCTTATGAACCAAGGAGCATTAGTAATTTGTCTCAAAATTTTAGACTGGGCTTGTTGTTAACACTATTTCTGATTTCCTCGCACAGCACAACAGTCAGATGCCATAAGTCCGTATAGATTCTATCACAACCTTGTAAATTAATAGTTTATTATCAAGAGATAGAATTGACATGCTTCCAGAAGCCAGTATAGTTCAGCAGTTCGAATATTTATTGTAGTTTTGAATATTGAGCGAAAATGATCCTACAACAGAAGTCCAGTTTTAAAAAATGTTAAACTCTTCTTAATTTTGATACTTTGTCTATAAATTCTTTAATAAGATCGTTGTGTTAGGTTTTATTGATTTTATAGCATCGGTGATCTGTCTTAAATTTTAGACTGGACACACTGCATTAATACAATATTTGATTACTTGCACAGTTGGATTCCATAAGTCCATATAGGTTTCATGACTGCCTTGTAAAATAACTATTTTCCTGGGATGATTTTGAATTAAGTCGTAAAAGCCAGGTTATCCCTGCAGTTCTAATTTTCATAGTTTTTATTTTTGAAACGATATGATCTCTCTCAGACAATCTACTAATGATAACGATTGTATTCATATACAATATTTATTTTCTTGCTTTGCTCAGATTTTCTTCTCAGTTTGATTACATTCATACTAAGCTTGCTAAGTATGTATTAAGGGATACGTTCAATGAAAACAATGAATCAATTTTATAATGATAACGATTATGTTTAAATAATAGTTATCTTCCTTCTTTCTTAGATTTCATTATATTTTTTCTTGTCCGCTGATTCTATTATTAATTGTTTCTGATAGCTTGCTTGGTATACTAAGGAATACGTCAATGAACATAATGAATCAATTTGATAATCAGAATGTTTGTGTTCATTTATATTAGTTCGTTTCCTTCTTTCTTAGATTTCATTCTGTTTTTCTTGTCTGACCTATTGTTCATTAATTTCTATCAATTTTTGTATACAGTCCCTAAATAAAATGAGATACTCCATAAAAAAAAATGAACATATTTGATTATAGTAATGATTGTGCTTATTTATAATAGTTATATTCTTTCTTTTTAGATTTTATTGAGTTTTGCTCAGTTTTTTTACCCGACTGATTCGATTATTACATTCATTATGTTTTAAATAGCCCAAATGACATAGTAAATTAAGAACAGAAAATATTAATACAGTAGGACCCATTTATAATGACTCCAACGTTGATTTAATCACACTACCAAGTTCGATTTTCATTCAATATAGGCTGCCGAATTATCATCATAATTTGTACATAGCAACATTGAAAATAATAATTTGACCATAGCGACATTTTTAATACAAATTATAAAATGAATGAATGAATAAACACAATCAGACAAATTATATTAATAATGTTGCTTGTATGAGAATAATGTATAGATTGAGTGTTTAATTTTTAATTACTTAAAAATTACTTTCTGTAACGCCTGCTTATTATAACATTTTTACTGTGTCCATTCAATGTCATTATAAAGAGTATAATGTTAGTTAAAGATTTATAATTTCCTACTCTTTGTGTGGATTGTTCCTCCAGTCATCACAAATGTTTCTTATTGCCATTCCATGTTAATATTGTGATATATGTGATTAGGCTCGTCTTTAATATTTTGTTATAATTAGGTGTTTGTAAACTTTTATTCATACTATACATTATTCAAACTTTCACAAACTGTAAGGTAGTGTATACATTTTTGATATATATTGGCTATTATAAACATTTATTCAGTTTTTCTTGAACAATTGATTCCATTATTACATTCATTATGCTATAATCAGAACGTATGACATTCTAAATTGAGAGCAGAAATTATAAATATAATATCAGTTAAATATTTTTTTATTCATAGCTTAGATTTATGTTTCTTTGTCATTACTCAGGTTCTTCGTAGTCATTCTATGCTAATATTTTGATCCATCGACTAATATTTAAACACAAACAGTTTATCATAATAACGTTTTGTTAATCCTTCCTTCATAATAAATGATATTCGAACTTCTTGATATTTATTCTTCATTCTAAACATAAACGTTTTGTATGATAAAAAAGTTCTCCAAAATATTATTTCATAAAATTATTTATTACATATTTGGTCATTTGGAATACATCATGTAAATTTATTTAATAAATGTTTTGAATCAAAATACAATCTTTATATGAGTTAGACATAAAGTAACAGAATTCGTTAGAGAAAATAAACATTTTTCATAACGAAGTATATATATATTCGAATGAATTAAGTTTGTTTATCTTTGTCGTGATATGTAGAACATGATCAAAGAATTAGATATGAGCAAAAACTCATCTAATCCTATGAAATATCAATTTTGAGCTTCATACAAGAAATAGTATTATAGGATATGAATTATATTGTTCTGATAATATTTCACTAAACTCATTTTGATAAGTTTGTTTTAGTGAAAACACCTAAAAATCATCATAATAATAATAAACTATGTTTTTACAGTTTTTGACACCAAAAATTTAGGTATATATGTATTGTCACACTGTGAATGATTTAAATATACAATGGTAGTAATGATAAAGTTTTATCTGATAAAATAAAAACTATTTAGAAATTAGTTATCGATGTAATTAAAATAGGAAGGAGCATTTTCTTATGTAATTTATTTTATTAGTTACAGCGTATACATTAATACTTGTATAATAAAAAAAAGTATAGCATGAATTATATAGTTTTATATTGTCTTCGATGGACATATTGCTTCTACGAAGAATCATGAATTATCTACCGTGGTAAGAAAATGCTCCTTGCACTAGCTCGAATAAATATTCTACAACATAAGTTTTCACCAAATATTAAAAAAATTTGGTATATGTAAATTTTGGAATAGATTTGAATATATAATACACTATTTTAAGTATTGTTTTTTAATTATTGTGACAAAAATTACACAATACACTATATAATATTTTATAAAGATTCATTCATCAATAAATGGTGTTTACAATTATTTATAATGTTGCAATTCGATATAAAGATTGTTTTCGCACGATATTAAGTATATACGTTTATTTTTATTTACATATGTGACAAAGCTTTTTATTTTATACGAAATACATGAATATATTCGACGTCATATTCCTTTGCATAAAGAAATTCGATTATTATTTCAAGTTGACACAAAATTTTATTGAAGACAGAGAAAATGAACGATTTGATAGAATTTTCCAGATTACATTATAAATAACAAAAACGACCATATTATTCTAGCTAATTTAATAAAGTTTCGTATATAGTATTTACAATTATTTAAAAAAGAAGTTGAAAAACTTTAACAACCGCAATACTTATGTCCATATCTATAAATATTAAATTGATACACATCTTAACTGCACATACAAAGTATCAAACACCCAAATTTGAGTTCATACAGAATACATATTTATTTATACTTTGAAAATTTCTTAACATGATTTTTATTAGATTTGTTTATTCAAATATATATATTTATAAAAGAGTGATCCTTAAAATACAAACCGGATTATTTTATCACTGTTAAGCATTAACCGAGTATAAGTAATTATTTTATGTAAATTCACTGTTTTACCCAAAATTTATTCAAATATCTTTTCAATTTCATCTAATTATAAATTTTGTACAATTGCTCAAAATTATCAATAACTAATTTTCAAAACGTATATACTAAATTGCTAATAATTTTCTGTTTGAAATATTTAGAAAAAATAATTATTTATCTAACGAATAAAATTATTTATTGTTCTAATTGTAAGTAAACCTGACAACTGTTCTAGAAAACATAATATTTTAAATTTGCCAAATATTTACACATTTAATTAATATATTTATAAAATAATTCCTGCTGGAATATTTCATACCTTTATAGTTATTGTGATATTATTATTATTATGTTACTTTCATATAAAATGTAATTTTTTATAAATTTCTAAAATTTTAAATGCTAATTCCATGCAGTTATTTTGCAAAATTATTATGAATAATGAAAATGATTTGAATGATATGAAAATAAAATATAAACATGTACGATTCGATACTATCAATGTTTATTTTTCGAACTGCTACTAATGCATCGCATTTTTTACATATGTTGAAATGACTTTGTATAATGTCGATAAAATTTAATAAGTACTTTATTTACAAATAGAACAATATAATTTAAACAATTAATGTTGTAACCAAAATTTTTGATAATCGAGGTGTTAATAAAATTTTTGCGCGTTTAGTAATTCAAAATATTTTGTACGATAAGTGTAACCGATAAGTGAAAAAAATTCTTTAAAGCTTTTTCAATTAATTCATATTTGGTTTAAATAGATATACAATTTACTTGAGATAAAAGTAGATAAAATATACGGGTTAATTATCCGATAAAATAAAAATGTTATGGCAATGCTATGTTAAGGACGTATCTTCGTATGAGTTAGTAGTAACAAACTTTCAAAAAGCTATCTATTTGATTGCTACTAGACGTTTTACAAATAAAACCTACACTTCACGTATGTGTTATCAAAGACACATCAGAGATATGCTCTTATATATTTTTTTAAATTTGATATCTATGCCTTTTGGCAGTTAGATTTTATGTGTGAAACGCCTGAACGCACAGCAAGTACATAGCTTTATGACAGTTTGTTACTACGAACTCATACGAATATAGACCCGTAATGTAGCATTTCCATAACATACCAATTTTGTCCGAGAATTGGCTTCTAAGTTTCTATAACAACCCATTTTATATATATTTTCCAAATTGCGAAATATTTCAATCAAAATAAATATTTGTCACCTATATTCCTTTGAATTAAGAAAATAAATTTTTGAAGATTCAATTAACCCTTTTGCTACGAGAGTCGTCTATAGGCGACATTCGCTAGGCCACCTGTGTGTACGTGTGTCGACTATAGACGACGTCCAGTGTATAAACTTTTGCTACAAGAATTATCATTCCCAATTAAACTAGTGACGCATGGCATTGTGCCTTAAGACAAATTAAATGATCAAACATTTGAGGAATAAAAATAATCAATAAACAAAAATTATTCAATAATTAGTAACAATTGTTTTAAATGTTTTCGAATAATTAGTAACAATTGTTTTCGAACTTTCTCGAAAACGAATTTTTTTACATATCTTTACGTTTCAAAATCTTCAAAACATTTTGGCATAGCTTGAAAAAAAAAGGATGAATGTGTGTGTATGTGCGTGTGTGTGCGGATACAATTTTTTGTCGACAAGTTTGCGAGCAGGAATCAACCGTTTTGAATGATTCACAAAACCTTAGATTTGTCGACAAAAAATTGTATCCGTACATACATACGCACACACACACACACTCATACACACTTTCATCCTTTTTTTTAAAGCTATATCAAAATGTTTAGAAGATTTTGAAACGTAAAGATATGCAAAAAAAATTGTTTTCGAGAAAGTTAATTATTAAGAATTCTAAATTGTTATTGTGATATCTAGTTCTTCAGAATTGTAATTTTTATAAATACATTTTCATTAATATAATGATTGAAAAATCTTAAAATATCTTGATCCAGCGGCTTGCTGGCTCGTACAGCAGTGTCACTTTACAAAAAATACTCTCGAAACAAAAGGTTTAATTATCCTAAGAAAATTTAATTTAAATAAAATGCAATTGTTAAAATATGAGTTTTTTTGTCCAATGCGTATGAGTTATGCATGTTCGTGATTTTTTTTATGAAGTTAAAAAATAAAATGAAAAATTTTGTGATTACAATGCAGCTGATTGCTATATGATATATCACAGAGAATATAATATTACATTTTAATTACTTATCGTTAATATAAGACGACACAGGAATTTGTAGCTTTAAAAACTAATAATAATAATCGGTTTTAGAAAGCGGATTTTAATTTTGTTAAAAGCATGAGAGACATACATATCTTTTAAGGCTTGTATTATTATTATTAATATTCATTATTATTAGTTGCAGTAACTATATAAGTATACGAAAGAACTATTTTCACAATGTTTTAGTTAACTTTTCATTGCTCTTAGCACATTTTGGTTATTCTCTAGAATTATATTTAGTAATATGTACAGATTATGAACACAATGAAATGTCTGAGATCTGTTACAGGAAATTACCAAAAATAACACGCAAAATGACACAAAATTGTGCTTTAAAAATCGGATAACACGTTTATTTTAATCACTGAGATAAATGAAATTTATTTTTTACTGACAATAATTATAAACAGCGCTCTAGTAGGTGTTTTAATAATGATTTTTTTATGTCCATATAAGGTTTAAGTACTCTAAAAGTGTTATTTCGGACGGTCTACATATATTTTGTAAATCAACTCCGCAAATTCGTTTATTTTCTTTAAATGTCCATCTTTATGCACTTTTATATTTTTAGCAATCAAAGGCATTTAGGTGCTTTGTTTTGAGTTTTTTTTTATAACGTCTGTTCCATGTTAGCCAAACATATCGTATTTTAATAAATATATGAATCTTTGATTTTTAAAACTAAAAGGTATTAAAACATCACGCCACTTATTATTACTTAAATTTAAATTTCTCAATAAGGAACTAATTCTTATTTTAGCAACATGAGGTTGGGCAAAAGGCGAAGCCTTCTAGTTATATTCTTATAAAATCCTTTTATTCAAACCAATTCTTATTTTTAATTGCTTTAAAATTTTGTTCAAATGTGTTTTCAGGCTACTACAACTGAAAACAATAGCAAAACGAATGCATATTTTGAAATTTTGAAATACTAGTCAGATATATCACACTATATCTTCTGATTTCAGTAATATATTTAGTTGTTTATATTTTCATTTCACCAAAGTTGACTTCGACCAGTTAACTGTGATTGACGAATATATTTGACGAGATATTTGTGTGTTGACGTGTATACCCGTCATATTAAATTGAAATTTTTGAGAAACCAAAATATATTCTGACTTACCAAGTTACTTAGAATATTCTGAGCCTATAAAATAAGTAGTTTTACCTTGCAATTTTTCATCCAATATCTTAGCAGCACAACCTACTCTGTGATTGACGAATATAGACGTCATGAGTTGGTATTGGGACGTCAAAAAACTTTGTGTGGAACCGTTTGATGTGAGCGCCACAGTTAACTGGTTAAAAAACAATTGTTCGAAATTTAAATTTAAAATCATACAAAAACCAAAAGTTGTACGAATTAAACTCTTAGTCGTAACCGAATCAATTTCAATAATATATAATTTAGATTATAAGATGGTTTAGATAATAAGAAGAGTATGAAGTATATTAGGAAAGTTATACCTTTTATCCGAATTATGTAACTAGCAGACTTTACCTTTTGCAACCCATCTTTCATCCAAACACTATATATAAATATCAATTGTCCACTTCACATTAATTGTTCACTGTTGCACAGGCAAAGGATTTTCACTTCTAATGTCTGATTTCAGTTTGACGAATTCTTTGGCAACATCGTCGTTGTTCCTTTGAGAAAGGATTCGAAGTATCGTCCAGCCTGTTTCGTCCATCTGGATCCTCTTACCGAGGGTCAGCCATAGAGCGCAGGAACCGTGCTAGAAAAAATTAGAATTTTAGTATTTTTATATAAAATATGTTAATTTATGAAACTCATCATGGAAGTGGTTGTAAGTAGTAAATCTAAACTTTTATAATTCAACCATTTATCGTAGTGTGGGTATCAAGCAGGCTAGTCATGGTTGATATATTTTATAATCAATAAATTTTATATATTTTTATACAAGTGGAGTTTATACTTTCATATTCATTACTACTCCCACATTGGTGACCCACGACGTTTGAGATGAAGACAAAAAAGGAGTATTTTTTGAGGATTTAAAAAATATAGATTCTGATGCAGCACTATAATCCCTGGTCTTCAGTGACTACTTATAAGGTACGTCCAGTCCTCGGTTCATCGTAGTTAACGCATTTACTACCTGACACCGGACTTTCGTTGGTATGCCCATTTGGTATACCCAGACTTCAGTGTTTATTGCTGACACAAAAGTTAATTCTGAGTCTAGACTTTGGGTCATGAATTGAATGCACTATCAAATGGTTATTGGAATCGCAATTCAACCTCTCCTTGTCCGTTAACTCAACAAATCGTCTTTTGATGCACTAAACTTTGGAACTGCATCTGGTCAAGATGATAACTCTTCAATACGCTCTCCTTCGAATCACATCCGATTCGAGAATCTGATGTATGATCCAAAGGGCTACTGAAGTCGACAAGATTATTTTAATCATTGCAAAAATTTATAATCTTACAGAGCGCCATCTGTTTACCCAAAGTATTACAGAAATTAAAATTAGAAGATCGATGCTGAATCTTACAAGTTCACCAAGACATCGAGGTTCAGGAAATTTACCACATGATTTTTATTTAGAACCATATGCAGAGTATGAAGATGATGGAAGATCGAATTACCTACCATACGGTGGATCTGCTGACGAAACTGTCTCTCAATACTAATAGACTAGTACCACAACACTGCTATAATCTGCTTTCCCACCATATTTTTATAACGTGTTTCCCTGTTTTTTTTTTAACTGTGAGGTCAACACTGGACAGGGAGTGTGTGGGGATCAAGCAGGCTAGTCATGATTGAGAAAACAATTGTACTTGTCATATTTTCATATCGTAATATTTTATATATTTTGAAATTACTTACTTTTGAAATATATTTATAAATTATAATAAAAATTTAAGATGAAAAAATTTACACGGAAGTAATATGTTCCAAGAGCTTTATGGCATTTTTAGCCAAATTTGCAGCAAATTGATAGACATACAATGCCAAGTGATCATATATTAAATAATGAATATAATAATAAAAAACAATCAGAAATAATATTACCTCTTCCAATACTTTCTTCAGTTGCAAAACAGCAACGCCGACTAAGCGATCTTCTCGTGCAAAACAGTAGTCTCGCACACAAATGTGCAACTCGTAGTAATCCAACTGTTCTTCGTTACCGATTATACTACAAGAAATATAATTTTTAGAATATTACGGTTAAAATATATAAATAATGATATTTCAGAATAAATGTAAAATGTAATAAAAAGTTCTTTATTCAAGCATCCATCCAGTAGAACAAAAATTAATTGATGTCAAATTTTTTTGCAAGTCTTCCATTTGGAGTTTGGAATCTTAGTTTAAGTAGTCTGAGCACAAAATTTAAAATAAAATTTTAAAACTTCATATAATGAAATTTATAAAAATCTTTTGAACATAAGCAAGCAATTTAATGTGCCAATTTTTTGCAGAAAATCTAAAGGTTATATACAAAAATGCTCAGACGATGATGATATATCAACAATTTAGAAAAAAACCCTTTTTGAAGATGAAAATGCTTGCAACTGCTTAACAGATAACAACTTTTCAATAAGAATCATTAAGTTTAATAATGTTTTTTTTCGATTAACAATTGACTTACAAGTTGAAAGACTCGTTGAACTTGGGGCTCCAATTGTTGCTCTTGGATTTGGTGGCCTGCTTGCGCTTCTTGTCGGATAGGTGCGGTCCAATCAGGTTCACCTCGACGAACGGACGGAACATACCAGAGGGCACATGCCACTTTAGGTCATTTGCAGCCACCACTAATGGAGTAAAAAAAAAACAATTGAAGGTTTAATAGATTTAATATTATTTAAACAGCGATTAGAACTGAAGGGATTATATAGATGGCAATCCAAACAGCTGTCCCATCTCTATCATATGAATTTTACTATTGCAATTTCTGTAATACTGATGATTCTTTTAATAATGCAGCAATGCCAAGCAAAATTTTCACTTGGAAACATATTATCATTTAAAATGGTGTTATTACTAGGTTTAATATGTAAATAAAACATAATTAAATTCTGGTTATTTTTGCCCAAACAGTTGAATTTTGTTAGATCAGTCATACCTGATTTGACTCATATAAAAAAAGGAACAAGTTCTACTAATAATTTTATAATGAATTAGCTGTATTGTATATGACTAAAAAGCAGTTCTAGTTATTATGTTGTAAAAGAAATCACGTTATTTGACGTAGTTGGTGGTTTATCTGAACTAGAAGCATCATCGAGTGAAATATTCGAGTCAGCATCATTTTTTGAAAGATGTAAGGCTTCACGAAAAGTACAATACTTTGCCTTGAAAATGATAATGTAATTTCCTTGTTGATATATTTCTTATAAAATAATTTGTTAGAATAAATTTAATTTAATATAACCATTATCATAATACATAATATGATCTAAATCTAAAGCTATTATATAAACCAATAATTTAATGAAACGGGTATTATAAAATGTAAGGCTCGTAATATGATTTTTTAGAGTAATTTAAAAATTAGGAAAATACAAGTAATAAATCATATTTTTTTACCTTTTACTGTGATTTTATGTTCACCGGTTCCGGGATGAGTGAAAAGATCAACTTGAATCGAAATTTCACCCACACCACCTTCCTCCGATGTAATTGTATCTAAAAATAATTAAAATATGCATTAATAAAAAAAATAAACTTTGCTCTAAAAATAATACTGTCATTTTCATAATGCTTTATAAACCGTGGGCAAAATTCTATTTATAAATGAATATCATGCAAAATAAATGATGATTACTAAAAGTTACTAGAAAAGTCAAATTTTGTTCTTGGCGTGTTAAATAACATACGATTTGTAAATTACTCATATAATAAAGTGTTAATTAACATAATTTTAAAATAATGTATAATATGATTCTGTTTTAAATATCATTTAATAAGTCAGTTAATTTCTGTATATTACTATTCCATGCAGAAATATGAGATGATATTGATTATAATTAATAATACAGGCCAATTAGCAGCTAATAAACTAATTTTATTTGCAAAATTTCTAATTAATATTAATAATAATTTATTTATTTAGACAAAATAAGAAAAACTACTTAACAAAATGCAAATATTTAGCAATATTTTTTATACTAGTTTTGAACATTTTGTGAAATTTTGTCAGTTGTCAATTTTAAAGAGTTAATGTAAATATTAGTGAAATTCTGATTTTTTTCAGTTAAAATGAAATAAAAGAAAATAATGTTGTATAAAAAATAAAATATATAGATTTCGTGTACCATAAGTGTTTATAAATATGTATAACATTGTGCAAGTAATATGAAATGCATATGAATATATTATATTGGTATGTGGATTTCAGCAACTAAAAGTGATACGATTTTGTGACCATATTATATATATATATATATATATATATATATATATATATTGTTTTTTATGTATATGGCGTTGCTGTTATTTTACATTTACTAAAACGAGTTTTGATGTTTAGTCCACAATAGTAGTGAATGTCATATAAACCCTGGAGCTTGGATTTAATGAACGTTTTATGATGCCTTGGAGACACGATGGCTGTGATGATTTCAAAATTAATGTTTCATAAATATAATACAAAATGCAACTAATTCGAAAAGCACTACTTGAATATATACTTTGCATCTCTAGATATATGCTTGGTCGAAGCTAATATCAAACCTATTTAAACTAAATAAATAAAAGAAATAGAAAAATCGATTTGCACACGATATTATTTATGCCCATTTTTTGCTGGGAAAATATTGCTTGATAATTTGAGGTTTCCTATTTTTTATTCTAGTATTATTACTTAAATTTCAGTAATAATAACTCCTTTTGTAGTGAATTTAAGTAAATTCTTTTAATTGCTGCAGATTATTGATACTGCAAATTCCTACATTTTTTATCTGTTATTATTTAAAATTCCGATGTATGATACTGAGACTTGCTATTATCGCCTTCAAAACAGTATCGAAACAAAAAAAATATTTTAATTAATTGGGCTACATTGAGATCATTAAGGAATACCCATAAAGTGTGAAAAATAGTTAATTCCCAAACAAATTTGCACAAACCGAGCAACACATATTATCTACCACCAATGATAGTATATTATAAATGAGTTAAAATTTATATTTTTTTAAAAAAATCAAGTCTTTTGTAAAATACAAGTGAATTGTCGAGAACTGTTATGTATAAAGTAATAAATAGAATTCTATTTTTATGCAAGATAGTAATAAGTTTTGTTTAGTATACCAAATCCAAAATTAACCCTTTTGCAATTAGGGCTTGAACTTGGATTTGACAGAGATTTTCGCCAAAATTACACTGCTGTACGAGCCAGCAAGCCGCCCAAAAGTATTTGTTATCAGCATATTTTAGGATTTTTCAATCATCATTAATAAAAATGTTAAATTGAAATGTGCACTTTTAAAAAATCTAAAAATTACAATAACAAATTACAATTTTAAATTGTTTAACCATAATTGATAAGTCAACAGATTGATAATTAAGAAAACATCAACAAACTGAATGTCATTAAAAGGCGATACTCGTAGACACAGGTCGTCAACCGCATGTCACCTATATGCGACACTTGCAGAAAAAGGGTTGATATCACATTTTTTGTAAATTGACCATTGGCAAATAGGATCGTGTCGATATTGCTATTATTAATTAAAATAAAACAAAAAAAAATTTGTTATGTGTTACTTTATGGTATTGGCGCCTTGCACGAGCCCTCATGAAAGAACAAACAAAAAATTTAAAATAGTAAAACAATTGATATATATATTTTTTGCGTGCCTATTTCATTAACCCCCGTCGGGCGGGTATTAAAAATAGAGACTTATAGTTTTAAATATATCTGTTTAATTGGTCTTTTTACAATGCTGATTTTGTATATTATATGTAAATAAAAACAAAATATGTATTAGATCAATATTATTCTTATAATACAGCAAAATATAGAAATCCTTAAATGCGCTCAAAATGCTTGACGCACAACCTTACTTTTTCTGAGATGAATAATTTAATTAATTACATAAAAAATGACAGACTCTGTTGAAATATTTATACAAAAACTATATTAACAATTAGGATAGTAAAAACTTAGTGTTTTTTGCTGTTTTGAGCGTTAACTAAAATTTGGCTTAGTGCGTTTCTTGGAACAAAACCATTACTGGCAAAATATGAATAGTTCAAAGACAATCTAACGTGGAATAGTCATAGACCTCATACTACTAGTGTCCCGTTAGGACTAATATTATATATATATATATATTATTTGATAGATAAATATTAGACCTAAAAAACGAGGCTACTGAGATTTGGGGGTCTCGATCACATCACATTGTAAAGAAACATACAAAAATGTTCGCCCTGTATCTGTCAGATCGGCTGCGCTTGACGGAGGTTTAAGGAACGTCAACAAGTTGTTGATAGTACTTAGATGTTACAAGGTCTAAGTCAAATGATAACCTAGTAATTGGACGTGTGGGTATGCAAATCGATAAAATTGATCCGTGTGCAAATCGACTTTTATCAAAACCAAATCTACTGAAAAATCAAGCTGATAAAATTGTATGAATCTTCGTCATCTAAATGAGCCAAAATCCATCCATCCACCAGATCAGTGTGTCTTCTCTACCTTGTCTCTGTTGTTGTTGTTGTTGTTGTTGTTGGGCGCTGTCGGAAATTTCCGATTCTCTTCGCTTTTTGGCTTTGAGCGGCTCTTCTAGGCCCTCGAGGCCGTCCTCGTCGTGTTCCAGCGATATAGAACGCTGACGCATTTTGTCGCTTAGCGGTACTTTACGATGCAACACACAAACAACAATGACAGACATCAGACATCTCATCAAGACAAATCGGATTTATAATCAAATCGAATCGAATCGAATCAATTCAAATTCTGATTCTGATCATACATACTCGTATATTAAAAATTAAGTACATATGGTATATATGATGCGTATAAGTACCGTTGATTATATCACGTATCAGTTACGACATGTGTGAGTAAGCGAATGAAATTTGAGTAATATCATTAGTTGGCGATATATAAGTTTAAATCATAGACAATACACTACATGGACTGCTAGTCCTCATATGTTTTTCGTTGTATGTAGTGCTCGAACATTGATGGGTATGTGACGTCACATGCCTGAGCGAACATTGCCGACGACAATCGCGGACTCTCCCGATTTATCAAATGTCATATGTCCTATGTTAATATTCCATGCCTAACATAGGCCTTTCAATATATAAACCGATTCTAACATTTTATGTATACATAAAATGTTAGAATCGGTTTATATATTGAAAGGCCTATGTTAGGCCTACATTTATTTCACAGGGAAAATATCGTTTTTTACTAAATTATCAGCTACTACAATTGCCATTATATTATTGAAATAATAACACAGATAATTTTTAATTAAATTGACTACTATGATAAATTTTATTAAATATTTTTAATATCAGTTCTTACAAAATTATCAGCCATCACAATTGCCATTATATTTTTCAAATAAACCATATGACATGACATTTAATCAATCGGGAGAGTCCGCGATTGTAGTCGGCAATGTTTGCTCAGACATGTGACGTCATATACCCTTCTTTGTTTGAGCACTTATTTTGCGCTCGACTAGCAGTAATTACTAGCAGTCTATGTAATATAAGGTCTATGGTTTAATTGCGTACTTGAGTAATAACTATAGATGTACTAACGAAATACAGGTAATTAACATATTAGCGGACAGTAAAAGTTTCAGCAAGGTACAAAAACTGACAGTAATTTTATTTTTAAATTAATTGTGATATTCTAAATTTTGTTAAACACCTTATTGTAAGAGCCATTTATCATATTTTAATCGTTTCATACAATAAATGCTATAGCATCCACGTCAAGTATTACGCTTCTATTGCTTGCCCAAGCTAGTTAGTGACTACGGTTAAGATGAGATAATACGAAAATATCTAAAGAATCAGTTAGTCATTACCTTGACAGGTACAATAATTACAAAAACGTAAGGTTATATCAAATTAAAAATAAAAGAAATGACTTTATAATTTGAATGCTATAGCATTCATGTTATTTTGCATTACAATGAAAATTGATGCTGTAACATTCACGTCCCCGAACGTGTTAACATAAGTTTACCTTATTTCCTCTTGAAAAAAAGTAAAACATTTAATTATCCTCCTAATTAGAGTTTATTATATAAAAAATATACCACAGCGTTTCTTACGACAACAAGTATCATCATAAACAAATATAATTTAAATTTATCTTATTACAAATGGTACAGCTAATGTGTTATCAGCTAAAAACGGCTTATTATATACAAATACCTGATAAAAATCTAGATTCAATAGAGTAGATTTGACATTCATATTGTTTTATTATCTCGAAAACACATGTTCGTAAAGAATAAGTGAGCACATATTTATCTTGTGTGTTTATGAAACAATATTACGAACTTGCAATCTCATTAGAAAATATAAAAAATATTTGGTTGGATCAACAAAACTATTCAATTTTCAACTTTAAAAAATAAGAAATGATGCCATCATTGCAGCTTTAGAAATTTACAATTTATAAATAATTTCGATACTTTATTAGGGTGGGCCAAATTGGATGCTGATTTGGTCTTACGGTTTATGCAGATGACGTGGATGCTATAGCATTCATCGCATATAGCAATTAAAATATGATAATAAAACTACCCAATTAAACAGTGTTTCATCAAATTTCGAATATCACAACCAATTTAAAAATAAAATTACTGTCAGTTTTTACTTCGCTGAAACTGTTACTGTCCGCAGCAATTCATAAATTTGTATTTATTTTTAATTTTTCAGTACATTTATTTATTTATTTGAATTAATTTTTTATATTTTTATTCAATAATTAAAGTTATCATCCCAATAACGGTATACCTAAACTTTTCTTCTTCTTTCACAGTTTTTTAAAAAATTATTCAAAATTGAAAATTATTTGAAAATTCAATTTTCATTAGGAACTTTATATCTAAATTTACATTTAGAGCAATTTAAAAAACTTTTGGAAAACATTAAATATTTTAAAAATTAAAAATGAAGTTTTTTTAGAAGAACAATATCCTAAGGTTATATCAGAAAGATTTCTTTCGTTTTACATTTTTAGCGGGATGGCATGGGATTCCATTTCAATTTCAAAAATTTTTGGAAATCAAATTAACAAAAAATTTAAATAGTATTATTATTAACATACCTTCATTATTTTGTGAAGTGACAAACGTTTTAATCAAAGTATCCGTCGTTTGTGTATATAATGACAAGGCATATCGTAAACTCTGCAATTCGGCACTTTTTTCCAGGAAAGTCTTTTTGAGACCATTTCCTCCAGCATGGAAGTATTGTTTGATGGTGTCCAGGGCCACGTCCAGGACTGCACATTGTTTCGGCGAAAGATTCTTTTCCACCTAGAAAGGAAATAATTAAAATTGTGGACAGTAATTGCGCCTGGGTCGAGCAACTTAGAAGGCTATTATGTAGAATTGTAACAGATAGAATATATATGAAACAGAATATATGGAAATAAAAAATTGATTCAGCACTTTTAAATTTGCTGACGAAGCATCTTCATACGATATAATAATAATACATTTTATATAAATATTTTTATACTAAATAAATAAAATAAATTGTGTACTAGCAAACTATTATATTAGGCACTTATAGACTGCAGATGCTGAAACAGCAAGCACGAGAAATGATAGTACAAAAAATAATTAATAATAATAATCCTCAAAATAACAATAATCCTTTAAATTTAGACATTAAATTTAAAAATTTGAAAAATTTCGAAAAATTCGAAAAAAATCTATCTAATTATGCTTTCCAAGTATGATCAAAAATATATTACGTATATAAGTAATCATGGTATTATTACTGGAAAAATTTAGTTATGCGTCCAAAATAAAATTATTGAGGCAGATAAACTAAATAATATATTGTTATTTATTTATTGCTGAATTTTTTACCTCTTTTGATATATCCATAACTCCACTCAAAGCATTCTTAACATCTTGTTTACCAGCCATATGATTTTTAAACAATCTACCCATATCTTCAATCTTTGCATTTGCAGCCAAATTTTTAGCATTGTCCGTGAAGTTTTTGAACAATATCTGAAATAAAGAATAATATAAATAATTATATAATATGAAACTTATTGAAAAAAATAAAAAAATATTAAGAGCTGAATTAAAAAATTGATTCTTAGTTAAGTCTGGTTTCTGATCTGGGACGGCCTGCCTCCACAAACAAAATACAAAAATTAGCATTATTATTTTTTCATCATGTGGTATGTGTTTTTCTGTTAATTTTCTATAACGTAGTAATTCATGTGATATAAGTAAATCAATTTTATTTTTGGTAAAACAAATAGTTTTTGCACCTTGCCTTACAGTACTACCCTCAACGAAGAAAGACAATTTTTTAAGTTAAATGAGATTTTGAGTTTAAATTAACCAAAAAAGAAAAACGGTTAATTTTAAAAAGGTATATCATAGTAGTGTTGATATTTTATGTCATGATAATGTAATATATATGTAAGATTTATAAATCTATATTTTTGTTTTAAAACAAATCGATAATTTTCTTATCTTGCTTCTGACCTTGTAAAAAACAGCCCCTACACATCTATTTATTATTATAACATTATTATTAAATTTTTTTATAACAATACTATACAAATAAGTAAAACTAGATTTGTAACATTAGCAAAAACAAACAAAAATATATAATATAAATGTATAAAACCGATTAGAAAAGGATAAGAAATAACTCAGTTTAGGTACATACGCACATTTAATTTCAAATACAATGAAAAGTATTAAAAAAAATGAGGTATGATATACAAAATTTAACTTCTAATTTATTTGTTCAAAACGAACTAAACTTAATGCAATGGGCGAGACTATTTCAAATGCAAGCTAATTTTGTTTTTGACAAAGATATCATTATATTTTCAGCGACCGGAAATATAGTTAGAACTATTTTTTACCGTTTTATCAGTCATCGGCGGCAAAACAACAGTCTTCTCCAATATCCTCATAACAATTTTCCAAAGTTCCTTCAAAAGCCTCTTCAGGACCGTCTTCTCACAAGATTGTGCGTATAATGTTAGTGAGCCATCCAGGAGATCCATCAGTGGCCTGAGGTATATAACAATAATTAACAAATTAAAAATATTATTAATTTTATTATTATGTTATTAATTGAATAATTTGATACCTTAAGACTTCATCAGCTTCAACAGCAACTGTATGCCTTACTTGAGGGTTATTTAGGGCAACTGTTCCACCGCCTTTGATCGCCAACAACATGTCACCTAGTTCTTTCACGCTCACAGTAATTCGCGGTTCAAGACTGAAAAAAAATTAAGATAATTTAGTATAAAAATACTTTTGAATGAGTTATGATATTATATTATAAAGATTATAAGATATTTATTACCTCTTTGCAAATTGCACAGCCAGTTCGTCAAGAGCGCCATTCAAGTTGGCTTGCAAATCATTCAGGATACTTGCAGCATCTTGCTCTAATTTTTCGCCGCCCATGGACTCGAACATTTTTTGTAATTGTACCCTCAATTGCTGTATATTGTTCATCAATATACATGCCTGAAAAAAGAATAGATGTAAATTGAGAATAATTCAATTTAAAAAATTATGAGTTTTTATGAATTAATGCATATTATCTAATTAATATGATTTTTGGTAATACAATGTGGTCGAATATCTTCAATTCATTATTCGTCTAAATATAAAAGTAAACATAATTTCAATTCTTTGCTTAATTATACGTTTTGACTCTTAATGTGTGCCATCATTCAGTAATCTGGTACCCATTATGCAAATTAATAAGATTGAAAAATAAAAAAACTTCTCAACATTGATTCGGAGAAAATGATCTAAACAACTTATGATTGAAAAATAAAGAATATGCAGACAACTCCGAGAATAAGATACAGAAAACGTGTAATGATCTAAATATCCAAAATATTGTGCACAACTAACATGATTATTAAATGGAGAAGTTGATTAAATTAAATGAAAAATTGAAGAACAATTTTCTTTTCGATGAATTGGCTGCAAATTATATCAAGTATGGCAATGTTGTGCTACTTTTTTTTTATCAGCAATAATTAAAATATGTTAATTTACAAGTTATCTAGAAGAAAAGTAAATTATATGGTATTGTGAACATTTGTCTACGTGGAAATACAGAAATACTACCCTTTTTTTGTTATAATTTGTTTAAAAAAATACAATCTGATTATAAAATGAAAAAAACCTTAAATATGATGGATTAGTCATAAAATCAAATTATACAAAAAAAAAAACAAGTATCGTAACTGTATACACCACCAGAGACTGTTGTGACAGGGATAAAAATAGGTTAAAAACAATAGCAATAAACACCAAAATAGTTTATAACGACTTCTTCTGTCAAAAATATGTAACACATCACAAAATGATCATTCACATAAAGCATATGAATGAATATAATATAACCATATATAACAACACATATTTTTTCAACAAAGGCATTCTTTGCAATGTCTTTTGTTTTCTTGTATTGAATATTTCTTTCCCTTTCTCTTTTGTATTTTACCTTAGTTAATTTAGATTTTTCTTCAATCTTCACCCGAAAGGATAAGACCCACTACCACATTTGTCACAACCGTACCCAACGCACACTTTTGGAAACAAACTATTGTTATGACTGAGCCAAATCCTCGCAAAAACTAATTGCTGGAAATTAACTACTAATGTTCAACTAATAGAAAAACAACAAACAAAGTAATATATCTGTGTATAAGAAACCAAAATAAAATAAATAAAATGGTATTGGAAACTTATATTATATCAATTAAACTTTTAAAATCTAATATCATTAAACCAATCTGGACCTACGGAATTGAGCTCTGGGAATGTGCTTACAAATCAAATATAGCTGTAATGCAGAGAACTCAGTCAAAAATTTTACGTACAATAGTACAATTTCGAATCCGTCAATAGGCGACATTACCCAACCATTTGGCGTAAGAAGATTGAAACGTCAATGGTCTTTAGACTTAGTCTTAGATTAGCTTCAATATAACATTAACTTTCAATTGTTAAACTAAGAAGATCTCATTGGAGTTCTTCTTAGACATCGCTCTCAAATATTGTCAATTTAGCTCATAGGAATCTTTATGTATTTCTGATTGCTGAATAAAACAGAGTTAAAAAAATCTGAAATAAAAAAACAACGATCTTTCAGATCACAAAAAACTCTTTCGTTAAATAAATTTAAAAAAAGCGGACAAAGAAATCTTTTTTTGATTCTTTGAATGTAATGTGGTCGATGGATCATGTTATTGTAAGGTAATAATGGAAATTTGTTTGAACGAACATCTTTCTTCCTTTGAACCCTATGTCAAAATCAGTATAGTTCAGCCGTTATGGCAACTGTCACCGTTATGGCAAAAAGTTGTCAAATATACAAGAAGATAATGCAATTACAATCTAAATGTGCATGTGATAACATAACAAAAGATGATAATCCTTTACCATCGCATGTCTACTACTCACTATTCTTTCCTCCTTCAAATGCTCCGGGAATTCCTTCTTGACGATATCCGCGTAGGCGATCAGCACCTTGACTATCGTCTTGGCGAATCTCTTCATATATCTCTTCCAAATCTCCGGATCGGGGCATTCCAGTTTCGAGACGACGTCGAAGCATTGCGTGAGTTGCGTGAATACGTCGACCACGCTGTTGGAGAACAGTGCGTGCTCGCTGCTCTTTTGGAACTGTTGACAAGAGGTGTAATCGATTTATTGTTTGTTTGTTTAGGGAGGAAAAGGACGAGGAGTAATTTGATATAGATATACATTTTATAAACATTAAAAACCAGAGGGCTTTTTAGAATTAAATATTTTTTTAACCAGTTAACTGTGGAGCTCATAAGGCTCGTGACGTGTATATTTGTCAATCACAATGTAAGTTGGGCTGCTAAGATAACAGATTAAGTTATTACTTAAGGTGAGCATATTTTTTGCATGAAATTCGGGACGGATTAGAATGTGCGTGAGAGCGGGGGCGAGGGGAGTGTTGGCGAGCAAAAAACTTATATGCACATTTATAAATATACTAATAATAATTTACGGTTCACATTTTGTAGTTGAAATATATTTAAAAATATATTGGCAATCAAAACATTTTTAAAAATCCGGGACAATCCGGGGCAAAACACCTAAAACCGGGACAAATTTTGCTTTTAGAAAAAGCCGGGTCGCAAGATGGAAAATCGGGACTGTCCCGGCTAATCCGGGACGTATGGTCACCTTATATTATTACATTATACTTCTTTATTTACGTAAACATATATTACTAAAGTAACCATATTTTTTTAAGTCAAAACCGAGACCGAGTCGACAATTTTTAGTTATAGTAATCCGGGGCAGAAGGGAGGGGGGTATGTTCAATAACATAAATATGATTTTACATACAAACTTTAAGTATAGAATGAAAGGTTTTTTAATGAATCAATTTGTTTTTAAATTAGAATTATGGGCTTCTGGTAAGAACGTAACTAATCAGTTATATATTATACTCATCTACTACTTATGATGTTTAAACTTATATTTTTCGATCCATATGTTTTTTTTGTTTCCGAGCCTTGTATAAAATAAAATTTTATTCATTTCTCTCCATAATTAACTTAAAAAATTAGTACTTGTGCCAGATAGTCAAAAAGAGTATCTGCTTAATTTTTGCGAATTTTTATGAAATTTCATTGAATTGGAGTTGGAATTTATTAATGGCTATTTTAACCCGTCTTTGGATTTTTGCATTCAGTAATTTTTTTCATTTATATCATATTGTTCCATATAAGCAATCTCATTTCATATATCATTTTCAGATATTTGATAGGTAGTTATAATTTTAATATCAAGTACTTAGAAAGATTCAATTTAAACCCATACTTTTCGAAAACCCGGGGCAATCAAAGACAAAAGATTTAAATTCGAGGCAGATGTTGCTCTTAGTAAAACACGGGACACAAGGTAAAAATCCGGAAATCCGGCCAAATCTTTACGGCCAAATCTTTACGTATGGTCACCTTAAGATTACGTAGGTGTGTGTATTATGAGAATAGTTTTTTATGAACAGCAAAATAAAGGATCAAAATGAACAGTTTAAAATGTTATTTAAATAGCTAAATCTTAATTCTCATAGATTAAGAATATTATTTTTACTTCGGGAAGTTAGTGCTACTTGCATTAAGATAAAATGCCACTTAGAGCTACTTATTTTATACAGTAATAGCCTCAAAATATTCAAAAAAATTTGACATATTAGAATGTATTGTTTTTTCAAAAGTTGCCATTCAATTAGCAAATGGATACACTTTCATAAGCATGGTAAATATACACGTCAATACACAAAATTTTGCTACGTCCCTATGAAGAGCATATTTGTCAATCACTGGTTAACATTTCAGTAACTTTGCTGTTACTAATTCTGTACGAAGACATACTTTCATTAATTTCTGCAATAATATTTAAACGTGTTTTCATTTATTTTATTTTGCCAAATAAAAGCTCTAGAAATATTGTTCCTAACAGATATGCTTCAAACTTTTGGGTTATATTTTGGCGAAGAGTTCCAAACCGATTCCAAAATTATTAAATTATACCAATATCGGAGGGCAATCTCAATAAGAATCCTTAATATTAATTCTCCGAATTGTTTAAGAATTGGGAAATTTATATGAAATTGACTTACGCAATCTTTCTTATCCCTATTGAAAGCTCCATGTAAGTATTCTAATGAAACATCGTCGTTTTCGTTTAACCATTGCATGACAAAAGGTTCGAACCAGGCAGGATAATCAGGAACAGCTCCTTTATAAGGCGGTACATCGGTGACGTAGTTGGTATGTAACCATTTCACCTGAAAAAGAAACAAAACTTAGTGATTATCACTTTTAATAATTTATTATTTTCATATAGTTTTATTGTATTTATTGCAGCAATCTATCTAAAATATATTCTAACATTTCAGACATGAAGGGAGAAGGATACTTGGTCATTACCAGCTCTTTTAGATTTTAGATAATAATAATAATAAGTAATTCAAATGATACTGAAAAAATATCATATGAAGATATCTATATTCATATATAAGACTTTTGAATGAATTTTAAAACTTCTGTATCGGAACTATATTAGTTCAACTTTAATAAATTTTTCTTAAATTGCTGATAAACCAATTTATCGATCGGTAGAGTCAGTGACTAAACTTACCTTGAAATGTAAATTCATGTATGCCGAAGATTTGCATAACCTATGTTGCTCGTGTTCTTCTAATGCATATTTCATATCCACAGCAAAAAGTCCCCACATGGTGGCGGCCGATAACTGAAAAATTTAAATAACCAGTTTACTCAATTGTTGTTTTTTGTATTTTCTATTAATTTTAAATGTTATATTAAATTTCCATTGACATTAAAATTTACACAACATATAAATACAATGAAGATGTAAAAATATATATTCAAACACTTTACTAGTTTATTATTATTTTATTACCTGGCCAATATTCAGTTCCTGTGGAAATTGGTTCAAAACCGGCGCATAACTATTTTTATCCTCTTCAATAACACTCACAATAAGAGCAATCAATTTATGCCAAAAATCTACACTATCCAACCTAGGATCCATCCTAGCATCCTCGGCATCTCGTTTCGCTTCATTAGGATCGACTTGGAATTCTCTATTATACAATTCATAACAATTCTCGAAAAGGAACTGATATGTAGACCTAAGGCAAGCTTTAACACAATCTTTAACAACGGTGCTAGCCCTTGGAGGACTCGATAATTCTTGAACTTTCATTCGGAAGAAGGTAATACTGGTGAGGAGATCTACAGTGGATTTGAGATCCATGAGTTTTTCGTTGCTAGATGCGGGGAAATTGTTTCTGTACATTGAAAGATCGATTCGTAAGGAGTTGTGGAGTTGGTCGAGGAGTTTGACGAACTTCTCTTTCTGGAAATGAAAGAAATATGTGAAATGAGGTGATAAATTTGTTTATATAGTGTAACTTACGCCAAAATTCGAGGCGGCAAATCTATCGCTAGCCGATACCGCGGAACTAGCCGTCGTATGTGCGTAATATGCGTTAATATTTGCTAGAAGAGTTGACATCACAGCCGGCACACCAGGACACAGATACTTCGTCGATAAACAATGGAAATGCCTAAAATTAGAAAACAAAATTTAGAATTTTATATAAAACACTCAGATTTACATTAGTTATCTATTCTAATGGATCAAATCACATAGTGGAACACAACATCATGATAAACGAGCCAAAGAGAAAAATGTTATTATTGGCTGTCTTTGGAGCATGTTATAATGTACTGCAAAGCTCGAATATGGGAAAACATAACATTTACTTAAAGAAAAGTATTATAGAATTGAGCAACCGGAGTATTTACAATATAATGGTATAGACAACTTAGAAATGGAACAACAACAAAAATGTGTAGATTAATGGACCGATTTTGCCGCATAACAGATAAATTTTATGGCAAAGCTATGTTATGAAAAACTGTCCATACTACTTCGTTCTAAATATTGACAAAAGCAATGTGGTTGCTGTGCAGTCAGGCGATTTTCTCAGGTTGTCAGATAGAAAACCTAACCTAGAAACTGCACAAATGTCAAAAAAACAATCTTAGGTAACAGGGTCTTTCTGGCTCAGCTTCATAACATACGAGAGACGTTACAGTTTAAGTGTAAAACGCCTGAATGAACAGTACATACATGACTGTTTGGCAGTATGATTCAGTAGCATAATGTATGGAAGTTGGAGCATAACATTGCCTTGCCATAACATTGGTCTGTTGTGCGGCAGAATCGGTCCATAAGATTCAATTAGGGATATGATTCATTTTACATCTCTATAAAATAAAATAAAATCATCATATGGAAAATTTGAAGCGAATGCTCAGCATCCCAGATTTTAAAGTGCAAAAAAATATAATTCAAAGATACAAATAAGAAATACAAATTAAATATTGAGAAGATTTTTATCTTTATTTTATTAGCTTATTTTATTAAAAAATGTCAATGTATTTAAAATTATTTATCATTACATAGATGAGTGTTTAATTTATATATACAAGTATATAATGACAAGTATATAATTCGATAAGAACTTGATAACTAAACACGTTAATTGCCACGGTAATATCAGAAATTTTTCTCAGGAGCCATGTGAACTTTATTAGATAATTTAGTTTAAAATGTATCAAGGAAACTTAGCGGCCAATTTTATGGTAAAATAGACCTTAACATAGGGTTGCCTTCACAACGCACATTTTTCATGAAAAATGTGCACTAAAAACAGCCAAAATGCCAAACTATGTATTTTCTATGCAGTCAGGCGTTTTAGATATCAAAAAAGGAATACTATCATAACTGCATCTTCATGATGTGAATTTATAACACAAACGTGAACTTAAGTGTTGTGTGTGAAACATTTTGACAGTTTTTAGTACCATTTTGTAGGAAAAAATGGCGTAACATTGCGATGCCATAACAAAGCAATGTTAAGCTAAATTTTACCCAAGAATTGCCCCATTAATGTAACAAAAATTTGTTTCTGCAAAATTTCTGGAATAACACTATTTTTTATGTCATACATACATATGACTGATAAAGCCCTACATTACTTTTTTTTCTCGGCAAGCCGTATCAGTCTTGAATGTCTGATGCATTTTTTGAACAAAATTTTCAGGATTTGTTCCCAATAGGTTAAATTTTTGAAACTTACTATAAATGTATCGTTTGTGTCGGACATCTATAATTGATGTGGCCTTTTTGCCAATATATGTCATGTATGTCATACATATAATACTGACATGGCTCTTATTAACAGATATGGCGATTAATGTGTCAGAGAAAAACTTGTTAAAAATCTAATTTAGAATAGTTTTCTTCTACTCACGTCATAGCCTGGTAAATAGATTCAATTCCATATCGCATAGCAAATTCGTCCACGATTTCTTCAGGAGCTTCGTCGAAATAAACCTTCCATGCTTCGTCTCCCTTGGCGGTTGGTAAACTAACGATTCCGCCATTCGTTTCGCAGAGGGAATGAAACAAATTTTCGTGCAGACAAGTGTATTGGACGTGGTAAGGAGCTACTTTTTCTTCGCCTTTAATTTCAACAGATATGTGCAGGCGAATGGCACCAGACACAGCCGATTTGTCAGTTCGTTTCTCCAAGTTATACCAGACGTCCATCTCGCCTGACAGGGTACGGACCTGGGGAAGAAGACAATTTTAGAGTTGAATATTTAATAAATTAATTATATATTTAATAAATGTCAAGGACACTTATTTGTATTGTTCTGATGAATCTAAAATAAAAGATTAAAAAATCTGTGATGGAGTTTCAATTACTACATGCCCAAAAAACGCAATCTAAATTCCCTTCCAAAACCTTTGTAATTAAAAAATACACGTCGCTTGCAAAAATGTAACAACTGCCGTAAAAAATAAAAGACAGATTTCCATCCAAAACCCATCTCTATTGTGCTTTCGGAAAAAATAATATATCGTACTCACCTCGATGATTGTTTGTCCCAAAAAGTCATCCGATTCTCTCGTCAGCTTTTGCCGGAGCTTCGATTTCAAATCATTGTCTTCATCCCACACACGCACTTTTATTCGGTCGGATGAATTGTGGCATTCACTGAAAAATGATGAATGGAATACAATATATTGAAAATAAAATTATTCAAAATTTTAATTATTATTTCGTTCAATGGTAAAATACCGTGCATTGTCTGAACTGACACTCAAAAATATTAAAAGTCAAAGAAATTAATTCATAGTTTTATGTTAATCTTTTTGTCCATGCTAGTCGAACAAAAGAATTAAATTGACCGGAGGAAAACCAAAATTAGTTCTCAAAGTTCAAAAGTATTAAAAATCAAAAATTTTAATATATTGTAGATATAACTTTTGGTACACGTTGTTCGACGAAAATCCTGGAATATGACTTACCTAAAATTGCATTAATCATTCAAAAATATTATTAAGTATGGAAAATCACAAATTTTAATGCAAAATGATTTTGTTAGTTTTTAGTCCATGTTTGGATAAAGAAATGAATTTCTCCGCAAATAGATTACCTAAAATGACAATAATCATTCAAAAGTGTAAAAAATTAATTATTTTATTGCATAAAAATTGGTTAATTTTTGGTTTATATTATTTTTGTAAATGCGTTATATTTCATGTATTTTTGAAGTATAACTTCTTTAGATGCGACTAGGTTGTAAATCCGTACAAATGCCACGGAAGTGCGTTACGAAGTAGGTCGATTGTGATTAGTCGTCGCGTATGTGAATAGAGATCTGTCGTTGTATGCGTACCGATATCACAAGGAAATCGGCATAGATAAATAAACATTTTAAAAATACATCGTAGTACAAATCTTGATTTAATGAAAAATGTGAAAATAATAAAACAAATTAAACATTTGTGCCGTGTACTAAACGTAAGTTTATTGATTAGAAATTATTTCTATATTATTCCTAGTTTCTATAAATCTTTGAAGTTTGAAATTTCTAAACACTAATTACAATGACAAACCGATCATGTAATTTTTGAAGTATGACTTTAATTACATTATTGTTTTTAAATATTATAAGTATTTTTAATGCTATTATAAATATATAATTTAAAATTTATTATCATATAAATGTGCATAATGTTTGACACTAATAAATGTGTGCATGGCGAGTGTTACCATATTACTAATAAACATTATTTAAAATTGTTATAATATGTATTTATTTTTAACTTAAATGCCACCTTGTACAGTAGCAAATAAGTTTTACTTCAATCGTATGTGACCTTACGCGCACTCTTTTTTTAAATCCACGTGTTAATCATATATTTTTTTTAAAAATATAGTATTTAAGAATAACCATTTGACATTCATTATTTCTATTATGAAGTCTATTTCTGCAAATACATATAAATGTTCTTTTGCAAACAACCCAGTCGCAGAACTAAGGATAAATCACTATCTAATTACAGGAAAGATTTTTTACTTTTTACTCTAAATAAACAAGAGCAAGAAAAAAACTAAATTAGAGCATCGTACATTGTTATATTCTCTCTAGAGTTGAAGTAGAAAAAAATAGAAAAGTTTTCTTGCTTCTTGCAAGCAATTATTTAGAAGATAATAATCTGAGAGTTGGTATTATGTTTAACGAGACTCATTTATAAACACTATAGGTTAATTGAAGATTAAATATCCTAATTAATAACGAAATTAATTTATATTGCATATATGCAAGAACATGATTTGCATACAGATACATGCAAACAGTTATCAGAAATTATTTTGTAAAAATATTGTAGAACTAATACTAAAGTAGAGTTGAATTTTAAATTATTTTAAATTCATGACATATATATATATATATATATATATATATATATATACATATATGCATACATATATGCATCAGGGTGGTCCTTAATATGGATCTTTTCGAATTTCCTTGCTCCCAGAGGCTCCAATGCTGTCAAATTGATTAAAAGAAATTCTCTGAAAGTTTTAGCTCTTAATATTAACTTTCAGATACTTCGCACTTTAATCAAAGTTTCTCATTATCTTTATAATTTAGCGACAAGTTAATAAAAATTTTAAGAATAACATTTGCTTATTTTGATCATAAATAAATCATTAACAACAAAAATTTTGATATATTTTATAAAATGAATATTTACTTAGAAAGAATAACCGAGAAACTTTCATTGGAGTGCGGAGTATCTAAAAGTTAATATTAGAATCTAAAATTTTCAGATAATTTTTATTTATAAATTTAAAAGCATTTGAGCCCCTGGAAGCAAGGAAATTTGAAAACATCCATATTAAGGACCACCCTAATATACATACTCAATTGCTCACATTAAAATTTTGATAAATCATTTTAAGGTCTGTCAACAAAAATAAAATAGTGGTAAAAAATATAGTGGAAATGAAGAAAAAAGAAAAAAAAATGCTATAAATAACTTAACATTATTTGACTGATAAGATAAGTACGTCAATTCGTCAATTCATTTAAAATTTGAACTTAAGTAATGATGTATGGTAAATTATGAGCAAGAAGTATGTAATATAGAAATTGTTATTGCCAGAAAGCAAATAATAAAATACAAATTATTGTTTATTATAAAATACATTTACTTTGACAATTAACAGTTCTAATTCTGTTAAAATTAAAACATGACAAACTTATAAACAAGTAAACGACCAATTATAATAAATGTTGTCAACATCATGTTTTATCTTTTATGTTTAAACTTTGAACTTTGATAAGCTTTTCGAAGTCTTTTAACCTACTTTGCAATTTCCAAGTCATGTTTACATAAGCATCATTAAAAGTACTTACAAGTAAAATTTTTCATTCCACACTGGATTCAATTCCTGGGGCATGGTTCTGGTCCTTTTCTTGATTTTGCTCACTTGAACGGTCACATATGGATCTGAAGTGCCACTTTTATCTTTTGCTATTAAACCTTGCGCGCAAATTACTGCACGACAATAAGTTATTGGAATAAAAAATCATTAATAATAAATAAATTACAAAAATAATGATTATATTTGTTAATCCATTATATTGGATGTAAACGCGCCCGTTGCATTCAGAATTTAGTTTTCTCGGTACAAATTTATCAAATACTATGTTTGCTTGAAGAAATCAACACTCGCCTTTTAGCGAACTGGGCATAAATAAAACATACTAGACTAGTTGACTTCGATAGTTAATTAAACAAAGACGATAATTGTTGATTTCATTTAGTATCAGAATGTCAACATAATTCATAAGTCAATATTTTACATAAAAGTTTCTTGTTTCATAAAAACATGATGATACAATATAGTTGTTAATCCCAGAAGAAATGAATCGCGGTTAAAATAGTTTTTATTTAGAAGCATAGTACCATAGTACTTTGATAAATATGGGCTGGCCCATTTGAAATTTGAGTTTATCAATAACAACCTGCCTGTAGGCCACACCGTGCGAAATTCGAAGTTGCGATATATGGAAGAAAAACTAAGAATTTTGAGACCTTTCTAAAGATATATAATACTTTATATGATTTATTTACCAAAATATCTAAACCGTAAGATAACTTACGCCATATTTAAAACCAATATGGGTTCCATATTGGTAAATAATATTTAACTCATATTTAAAACCAAAATGGGTCCTATGTTGGTGAATAATATTTAACCCATATTTTTAATATAGTTCCGATATTGGTAAATAATATTTAGCCCACGTTCAATTCAAAATAGTATTTAGTGTATGTTGACTAACATAATTTAACTAATTGATAGATGATTGATAGATGATGATAGACTAATTGATAATCATTGTAATTCGCTATAAATATAATGTATATACCCCAGGATTCGTCCACGATTCATAGATAATGGGGCAAGCTATTTAAAGATGTTTCAAATTTGGGATCAAAATTATGTATCAGACGCCTATATGATACTAGGAAAATATAGTTCTTTTCATAATATATTGTCTATTCATAACAAGGATCTACTAATTATTTTTGTTTCCCATAACAGTTAGTATTTGAAGTGTTACATTACTAATTTGAATTAAAGAATCAATGTACTGCTAGTATGATTTGTGATCAATCTAAAGAAAACTGCTAAATATTATTGATGCGTTCCTTAAAAAGTAACGTTTCATAAAAATGTGATACAATATAATACAGAAGGACCTCAATTATCCGGTCCTCGGTTATACGGATTTGTGATTATCCGGACTACCAACCGCGACCAATTTATATGTATGTACATACCTACAATTTGCATTTTAGCATGATTAATGTTGCAATTTAGTATATGTATGTAATGTAATCGAAGAAAATATTTATATACATATACAAGGAAGTGTTAATTTCTTAATAAACATTGATTTTTGTTGATATCTATGTATGTATTTGTTATTTTTAATAAATATACAACATTAGTCTTTATACATTCGATTATCCGGATTTTCGATTATCCGAATGCACATCGACAACAATTAGTCTAACCGGACTAATCGAGGTTCTACTGCAATTTAAAATGCTATTTAGAACACCAATTGAAATGAAATCGGTCATATAATAAAGTTAGAGGTAGATTTTTTAATCATTAGTTATTATTATAAATAATTCTATTAATGATATTTGAATCATAGCGAATGGGTAACGTGCTAGTGAATCTCATAGCTCGCCGTTCGCCGTTTCGCCGGTCTGAACGCAACGGTCGATACATCACAATTTCAGAACTGTTTCCTCACAACGCCTGTATACGAAGTGTGCGCGCGCACTCGCCTCTCATATGGAACTCATTCTATAATTCATATCACGGCTATGGCTATTCATAGCAGAATGAAGTAATATTGTTAAAACCGAACTCGACCAAATTCTACGAAAGTTACTTTCAATATAAAGCAACTCAAAGCTATAATGTTTAACCAGCTATGAAAATTTCCTAGCTATTTAATTAAAAAATTTGTGTTTCGGTTGGACAATGAATAAGGCCAGCTCATTCATTATTTGTTTACATGAGTATTTGTTTTATTAAAATTGTATTTACTAAAAACGAAAATAGCCTCTTGATTATAACTAATACCTTCGTTCAAACTTTAATTAATTGAAGGACCAATTCTCCAGTAAAATTGATCGTTGTTATGGCAACGCTATGTTACACGCTTCTTTATTGATATAAAATGATAGTAAAAACTGTCAGAATGCTACTTAGATACAAAAATTAACCTAGAAAATGCACAAACGTAAAAACGATATTACTATAACTGCATCTTTCTGATGTGCATTTATACACAAAGATGAAGTTTGGTTTATGTGTAAAGCGCCTGATCACATAGCACATACATTTTTAGTTTTAGATAGATCACATAGCACTTACATTTTGACAGTATTTACTACCACTTCATATGAAGAAAAAGTCAATGGTCAAAGGTCAAAGATAGATCAATAGTCATTAACTTATTGCAATCTCTTGCAAAATAAAACTATTACAAAAATAAACTTCTTTTAAATTTCATATTAAAACTTTATATTTTCATAAATAACATTTTATGTAATTATGAAAATATAAAAGTTTAAAGTAAATAATTTCTATTACTAAGAAAATTCAATTTAAGACAATATTATAATCAGTTAAGAAGATATTGTGTTTTATCTTCATATTTTTAATTTGTATACCAGCGTTAAAATTTATGGTGCTTATATGTTCAATTTTTTTTTAAATTTTCTAATTGAAAATATTATCTTTTAATAATTTTATTAAAATTTCAGTTGAATAAAGCTGTGTCATCTGAGTAAATTTAGAAAATATATGAGGTCAAGCCAAAACAGAGTAATAGTATTGACCTTGATGTTAAGTCCTCAAAAAATTCGGAAAAAAATTATCTCACGTTGTTTGGGAATTATTAAGAGTAACCTAAAGTTTTGGTGAAATTCTGACCTTTTTCTGGTTATAGTTATAACTTTTATTAATTTTGTTCATTTAAACTATGGAACCGTGACTGTGAATAACATTTCTAGGACTACAGTAAAATAAATACCATAAGAGATTGCTAATTATAACGAATATGTATGTGAGAAAACTCATTATAAAATATATATCACATCTTTCCTGGGTTATTAAGCAAAAATCATTTTGTTCCATCAAAGTCCGTTTTTTGATGCAGTATATATTTGAAATTTTGTTTTATATAAAAGCCGCAAGAATTAATATTGAAGCACAACATGACATTTTATTATTTTCCGTCAGTTTATGGTTTTTTATTCATCAAAATGTCATTTGAACAAATATCTGTCACGACCATTGACCATCGAAATGAGAAATCAATAATTTTCATACGCTTTTTGTATAGATTGTGGAAAAAAAGTCATCAAAAATATTTAGGAAAAATCTAGCTGAAGTCTGATCGTAAAAGTATCATTATTGATAATAATATAATATGTAGCATCAGTTATTAAAAATATTATTAATAACATTTTCGGCAGTTTTGTTGCAAAATTAATGCGAAGCTTTTCAGCAAAAAATAATAAATGTTAAATGAATTTTGAGCAAAGACTTTTTATTATTAGTTCATTTAGTTATAAAATGTAGTTAAAACAAGTTAAAGTGTTAATTTACATGTTGTTAAAATATTGCAAAATTATTTTTTGAATTATAAAATTTACGACTATACAAAAAAACTTCTAATTATTAAAATATTGTGTCTAATAATGGCGTCCAATCAAGAACTTTTTTTAAATCCAAAATCTACTTCGTAGAAGAAATCTATGATATAGTACGATACAATTTAAAGAAAATGTGGAAAACTATATCAAGAAAACAAAACCTATAAAGAGATTTTAAAATAAAAGCTTCAAGTACCTATTCTTACTTCAAAATATCTTATTGTTAGCAATAACCATTACCAGGTAAGTTGAGCAATATGTTCCACATGTCCTTTATACAGCGAGCTTATTATTATCAAACTTGACAGAAAACTTTTAATAGATGGTTTTAAAAATTTACTTGCACTTAAAAAGTTTATACGATCGTATAGAATGAATTCCATAAACGAGTAGTAAGATATAAGATCAGAAATTAGATTTCACTATTTTTTTAATAAAATTTCATTTCAGACTGTTGTGATGGATACAGAACTATGTAAATGACTTATTATTGATGATGATGATGAAAATATAAGTATTATTATAATGTGATTTACTTTATTTTTTAAGATGATGAACTTGCAAATGATAATTTTCTCTAACATAATATATTTCGAAATCGAAGCACTGAGATATGTCGATCATAATTTACACCAGTTATAAATAGATAGATAGAGAGCAGGACATATGACATCAATATTAATTAATTAGTAGTATGATTTATACACCAAAGCTATTATATTTACCTAAGAGCAATAATAATCTAAACACACATCACATAACGTAATTACAACAAACATAATGCTTTTCTATACAAATCTAAAACACATATCACACAAATATCAAGCAGGAGGTGCTACTGGAATTTAGCAAAGGCTACGAGATTAATAATAAGTAATAATAAATGAATAATTGATGTTTTAATCAGTTTTGTAATATTAGGTGAAATTCAACAGAATTACAAAGTTAAAATCTGTAGCCATTGCTAAAACTATTATAAACCCTCGATGAACTAATAGTACTTGCTATCTGATAATTTCTTGGCAAAATTAAACCGCAATTTATTTTTTAAGATAATTTTTCATTTGGGACTCTTTCAATTAAAAGTTAAATAAATAGAGTTTTTTCAATATTCTATAATTGTATTTTTCTAGCCCCCTGAACAAGTCAAATTAATTTTTAAACTAGCTTCTCATGAATGCTAATTTTGAATTATGAGAAACCTAATAAATCGATTTTTTTATATTTTACGATTTTCTTGTAGAACAGAACTTTACCCCGGTGCAAAATTGATGAAAAAATAATGTACCAGCGATTGCGTCAACAAA